AATTATAGACCATGTCATAAACCATGGCCTCACAATGGCAGAGGCAGGTCATCGAGTGCAGCCTAATGTGCCTCACTCTACAGTCTCCTCCATTATCCAAACCTTTCACAGGGAAAACAGGTATGTACTCCATGTAATCTATAATGGAATTATATGTTATATAGGACAGGGCACTGTGCGTGAGGCAAAAAATGTATAACTTACTGTAGAGATTTTGTGTGCATCTGCCTACAGTGGTAGGTCTATACTAGCAGGTGGAGAGGACTAGTGGAATGTTTTGATACTAAATATGACAAGAAATATATTGTACAAATCACTGTAAACTATGGAATTACATAATTTATACAGTTTAGAGAAGTATTCCAGTCACTGTGCAGCGGGAGAATGAGTACAGCGAACACTGAATAAGTCCTTGTTTTTTGATTTTGTGTTCATACAATTTACTACTGTAATGTACATTTTCTTTTTACATATGTATGAAACTTTCTTTTGCATGTGAATAAAAAATGGTTATCATTTCCTTGGTAGTGTGAGTGCAATCTGTGATGTCAAACCTTGGAGGCTACTCTTTTCTGTTGTATATTGTTGGTCCTCTGCCATAGTGACAAAACATCTAAACATTTTGAATGGCAGTACTCACACAATGCCAAAGGGACGATGCATTTTGGGGGCACTGACTATTCAGATTAGAAAGAAATGTAGTTTTGACACATGAGTGAACTGTTTTAGGGGAGATATGAGCTTTTGCAGGTGGACCATGTTGTTGTGATCAACCATCCAGGTTTATTTTGACAAAAGCACCAGGAATGATGAGAATGTCCGATCTGTGTCGAGAAATGAGCCAAAGCTATTGAGAAGGATCTTTGCCATTTTGGAGACACTGACTGTTTAAATGAGAAAGGGATTTAGATTGAAGCCTGAGTGAACAGTTTTGGAAGAGATATGAGCTTTTGCAGGTGAGCTATAGTGTTGTGCTAAACTGTAAGAGTGTTTTGCCAAATGATCTTAGAGTTTTGAGAATGTAATTTCTGTTTAAAGAAATGAGCCAAACCAATGGAGAAAAACTGTAAGTGCCTTTGAGATCATAAGGACTGCATTCTGTTGCTATGTGAGTTTTCATGATTGCACAATACAGCAGAACCAATTACTGCTGGTGTGTAGTGGTAAATGGTAATGGTAAATGGCCTGTATTTGTATAGCGCTTTTACTAGTCCCGCCTAGGGACCCCAAAGCGCTTTTTACACGTCCAGTCATCCACCCATTCACACACACGTGGAGGCAAGCTACAGTTGTAGCCACAGCTGCCCTGGGGCGCACTGACAGAAGCGAGGCTGCCATATCGCGCCATCGGCCCTTCTGGCCAACACCAGTAGGCGGTAGGTGAAGTGTCTTGCCCAAGGACACAACGACCGAGACTGTCCGAGCCGGGGCTCGAACCGGCAACCTTCCAATTACAAGGCGAACTCCCAACTCTTGAGCCACGATCGCCCCTGGTAGACTTGGACATTTTGGCTGCTGTACCTGGGTATTGGGAGGCCATGTGCAATCATCCCCCTCTCCCTGCGGTGTCGTTCCTCTCTCTCTAGAGTCAATCGGATCTCTCTCTCCACTGCAGTCTCGGGCTCCTCCAGGGTGCTGCGGTACGACGAATCATCCAGACCTGAGTCCTCTGAGCTAGGGGACAGGGTGGAGGACAGAGGAGGTTCCCTGGGCATGGGGATTTGAATTTCCCTTGTATAGGACAGGAGGAAACCACACTCAAGTTGAGAAGGATGTGAAACCTACAGCGTTCTAGCTACTTGCTAAGTGTACTATGTTGGCTGAAGGACTCATCTTGTTAATGTGGTGCATTGTTCTTTGTTTTACTACTGGGCATGAGCCCTGAAAACTATTCCACTGTCACTCTACAGCATCTGTTAGCACTATAAATTGTGTGACGCACTTTTAGAGTCCTTGAAACCTCAACGAAGGCTGTAGTAGAAATTATTTACGGTTAGGATGACTAAGACGGGTGAAGATTTACCTGTGTTTGAGCCGGGGACTGCGAGTGGGGGGATACAGTGACGAGTGGGTGCCCTGGAAGCTCCCCTGAGCTCTCAGTCCCGGTTTTGGGATAGGCTGACCTTTGACCTCTTCTTCCATCTTCTTCCACTGCTGACGGGCCAAAAGAAAGTCCACATGCTCAGTAGAGACATTTTCACTTTGGGTCTCTTCGTGCACGCAGAAATCTACAGGGACCTGACAGGAGAGATTAAATGTGGGGTTAGGTTCAGCATTCTAGCAAACAGCCAGTGACTCTTTGACTCAGCTAGAGTCCGACAGCCAGGCTGGGCATATCAGTCAGGTGTTGGTCAGGTGAACCATCTGTCACATGACTCAGGTTCTCCTCCAGACTGTTTTCATTCATAAAGTGCTTATAAACCCAAATGTTAAGGTTAACAGGTGGAATTTCCAGTTTTCAGTGCAGTTAGTTAAACAACTTCCTTTCTGTTTAAAGGACTGTTGGAATTTATTTCTATCTGTAAGGCTAATATCTCATAATTAGCATCACATATCTGTGTTTTGTCTAAGACTGCTCACAGTGTATTGCAGAACAGTTTTGGATTCATTCTGATAGCGACAGACGAAGACCCCGTCACAATAGTGTGGACGAGGTTGTAGTACCTACAAGACAACAAGGCCATACATCAGACCTGATGGAGGACAAGAGGCGGTTGCCATGGTGATGGGTGAAGTGGCATCTCCAAATAAGGAGATGCCCAGAAAGATGCCAAAGTGCTGGATCTCAGCCCGATCAATAGAACTGTGGCTTTCCTCCAACTTTTGACCAATCACCTTTTAGCCCTGTTTATCACACATAATAAAAGCATTAGTTTCTGAGTGTGGGGCTCTTAGTTCGTTTGGGTCTCCTGAGCAAGCAGAAAGACACACAGCCTTTTGTCTCTGAGCCTGAGAGACCGAGGTCCATGGCACCATGTGAAACTCATTTGAAATTTTAACCGTTTTCATAATAAACTGTGAAAACTTACAACATATTTGTCTTCTGTCTCATAAAAACCCTACAGGACAGAGAGAAATGGACAGCATGTCCTTGGTTTCGTATAAAACTGATATATAGACTGAGTTTTAGTTTTAATGAGTTAATGGTTCTGTTACTAGTTAGCTAACAGAAACTAATCTAAGTCTATTAGCAGCAACCAACCACCTCAGTGACATCACGTTCTGTATTGGTACAAGACGGCGCTAAACTCGTTCTAAAAACTTCAAACACGTGTTTTTAAATTCAGCTTCACAGTCAGTGTTAAACCTGTGACAGTATGTGAGAGCAGGGATCCACAGTGTAAATTAGCCTTTTCATGTCACCTGTGAGTGGGCTATGCTATCACTTTCAGCTGTGGTTGCACAGTTTGGACACAAGGTGGCAGCAATGATCTTTATTCCCTTTTCTTGTTAAAATGGACATGTTTGTTATAATGCAGCAATGAATACTTCTGAGATTCGTCTGTGTTATAACTGCAGAGTTCGCTTTAGTTGATGCTTGAATTAATGTCCTCGAATCCTGATGCAAACTACGAGTGCTAATGCTGGGTGATGGGTTCGAGGCTCTACGAGTGCTAATGCTGGGTGATGGGTTCGAGGCTCTACGAGTGCTAATGCTGGGTGA